AAGGTGTATTTACTGGTAGCTATGTATCTTGGTCTAAAAGCCTCTAACATGCATGTTCCTTCCTTCACTACTAGCCACAGCTGAGTTGAGGGTTGGGGGTTGGGGTTCAGATGCTTTGGGGTTCAACATTTGAGCGTTTCAGGGTTTCAGGGTATGCGTTTTTGCGGTTGAAGATTACATGAATAGAAAGAGTCGACAGTATTGAGATTCGTGAAACAGAACCTTAAACATAAAGGCAAAAAAGAGGACGGAAGATATGCTGTTGATTGCTTTCCTAATCCCAGGCTCAGCCTGCAGCTCCATTCGAACGTTCACTTGCACGAGGGAATGTTCAAGTCTGTACATCATTCCTCCGAGATTTTCATGCAGCTGGGTCTCCTCCTTCAGCAATATTTGTCTTTTTAGCGCTGAGAGTTTAGGGTCCTGGGTTTAGTGAGGACGTTTTTTAACAGAGGTTTGCGGAGACTTTAGGCACATAGACGGCCACATCTTGCTCTTCGTCTTTGTCCCAGTGCTGCTCTTCACCGACTCCCTGTCTCTAGATCCTTTTCAGGACCATTTTGCGTTACAACTTTGTTTTAAACGCCCCAAGAGCATACTAACCATTTAAAATGCTGTTTCCAGATGGTTTTAAAAGAGGAGCACCGACAGAGTTGCAAAGGGCTTGAGGGGGCAAAATAGATCTTGACTACCTTTCTCCCAGAGCAGTCATGACGGAACTGCAGGTCGGTGGATGTCCATCTGTTCAAGAAGATGCTGAGTTGTTCATGATCATTCTTTCTTGTTTCCACATTGCTAAGCCAGAAAAAGGAAATTTAAACTTGAAACCCATATTCGAAAATCCCAACCCTAAACCCTAAACCCTTAAACCTTTAATCATCCACCCTGAGCCGTTAATCCTAAACCCAAACTCCTCAAGCTGTAGCCTCAATCCCCAAGTTACCTTATACTGTACGAGGACCTTCTGGCAGAGTATCTTGCTAGCTTGTCCCGGGACAGCAGCAAGTGCTGCCCTGACTGGGGTGGTGGCCTTCTACGTGCTGCCCTACCGGTGCCTTGGTCAGGGTTTAGGGCTGAGGGTTTAGGGCCTACCAGGGTAGAATAGGGAATCAACAGGAAACAACGTAAAATGAAGTTGAAACGTTGTTTTCATGAAGGCTCATAGGGATACCTACACTTGAGGGTTTTGGGGCTAGGTCGGCCACGCTTTTCATGTTTTTTTATCCAGGTGGCACCCTCTAGTCGCTGAAAATAAATAATCTAGACCTTCCTGCATGGTTGGGGATTCACACTCAAGGCATTGGGGCGTTGGGCTTAAGGCTTCGGGCGTAGGATTTAAGATTCAAGATTTTATTGCTGAGTGGAGTTTCCAAATGCCCTAACCGTCCTTTGTCTCGTTGGTCCAGTCCAAAGTCTGGATTGTAAGGCTTAGGGACCAGGGAATTCTGAGTCCCGTGTACGAAGTTCTAAGTTCTGAGCTATCCGCACATCGTCCCTCCCTCCCCTCCTATACCAACCAAAACTCTTGCAGTCGTTAAATTGACGGGGCCCGCACCCCAAGCCTTAGACCCTCAGCAGCCCTCAAACTACATCGAAACCCTAGACCCCACGCCCTAAATCCTAAACCCCAAGCGCTGCAAGCCCTAAACGGGACCCTAAACCGTACACCCCAAACCTTAAGTCTTTTTGGAGTCAGGTGGGATTGGTACCTTGCCATGGCATTCGGCTCCATTGTGGCCACCACAGACCCTGCCGGAGTCGTTCAGGCACAGCCTCGAAACAGATGGGGGTTGTCCTGCAGTGTGGTTTAGGAGTTGGGATTAAGTTGAGGTCAGGGGTTTTGGGTTTCATGGCTTAAGGTTAGGGGCTGGAATTTTTCCGCCCTGAAGCACTCTGGGGGCATGTGGGGTTTTTGAAAGCATGATTGGGCCCTTTTCTTGAAGTAAAAGGCATTTTTGAGAAACATGAAACAACAAAGTCATGAGGAGTTCACACTTGCGATAAAGCGGCATAAAACCATCCTTGTAACCGGGTTTACATAAAACCGTTTTGTCAAGGCTTGGGCGCAAGATTTCGCATTTAGAGGGAAGGTATCAGGATTTCGAGTTCATGACTCAGGATACTGGATTCAGGTTCATGATTCAAGATTTACGTTTGGGATCTCGAGTTGACTAGGGTTTTGTTGGGTTTGGATGCGTCGGGGTAACTCAGAGGTCCTCAAGTCGTGCGGAGCAAGGGAAGCGCTGACGGTGCTCGTCACGAGCTGCCGGGATGTATTAAGGTTGCATTTTTTTGCTTTCGAGACTGTAGAGAATTGAGGGCTAGGAGGCTTTCATAGGATTGCAGTGATGTTGGGCGATGTTGGGCTTTAGTTGGGCATGAGATTGTTGGATGAACGCTTTAGCTTCATGGTTTCAATCACGTCTCCGCCTCCTCCTACTTATCCCTGATTGAGCAAGAGACAAACGAGGTGTGGGAATTCCCCAAAACAATGGTCTTCCTGATGTGCCTCCCAAATACTGTAGCCCTGAGTACAGAAGACCCCCTGACTTACGAAAAAAAACCATGGCAAGCAGACTCGCGCTGTGCATTTGTTACTTGTTTGGGTTTGCTGGGACGTAGAATGTGGAAACTTGAGCTGCAAGTTGTGAGTAATGTAGACCCATATAGGGGTCATATAGGGATAATGGAAAAGAAAATGGAAGCTACTATTTAGGGTTTAATGTAGACACCTGATTAGTAAACCCCTTCCGTTTAACGGCCTAAACATTAGGCTCCCTATTATAATCCGTATTAAGGAGAGGGTGTTTGTTAATTAGGGGTCTGTATTATCATCTAGAGTCTAGAGGATGATTGACATCATTGGAGCTTACCGGAACCCTAAACCCGGGTCAAAGTTGGAAACGAGCTGTATTTTCATTATACTAAAAAAATCACCTCGTCCCCAATGTGGATCCAGATTCCATGAACACCCTTCCCCTAAAGTTCCACCCTACAGCCTACTAAAACCTTCAATGCAAGCCTCAATTCCTGAACCGCCCAAAACGAACCACAAACCCTAGACAAAACCCTTCACTCCTCATCCTGACAAAAAACAGTAGCCATGAACACTCAGAAACATGCGCGGACCCAGGTGAGAGTGCCCTGAATCAGGGCATTGCAATGATCTTCTTCACCTTGTTCTTCACGATCCATGGCTGGCTTTATGCAGATCAACCCTATTAGTTGGACAAATGGTGTGTGGTGGTATGTTATAAGGGGTACAAGTACAAGTGGATATGTAGGTAACTCTGGGCTCCTGCAGTAGCTGGCGCGCTATTCTAGCAAAAAGATTAGATCTCGATGATTTTCAGGGTTGCAGCTAATTCATCAGAGCATTCTGCTGTAGACGTTAGGGTGCCTCTGGAGCTTCTTCAAGCCCAAAAGACCCAATTACAATCTAGGCCGGCCAACTCAAGCACTGAACCCCTAGGCCGTGAGGCCTAAACCCCAGAAGCCAAAGCATGAGACTTGAAACCTTGACCCTAAAGCCTAGATCGATCAGAACCCCAAATCCTGAGCCCCTCAAACCCTAATGTAGACCATGATTAATAAACCCCCTCCTTTTAAGGATCTTAAAATTAGGATCCTTATTATAATGCCCATTAAGGGGAAGGGGTTTAGGAATTAGGGGTCTACATTAAGCCCAAAACAACGCAGGATCTTCATGGACTGGATGGATTGGGAGGCCCAGAGTCTCATGGTTTTCCTGCTGCAGGCAGGGAGGGGCCTTGAGACCCACCCTCCCTTTTTATGAAAACCGCCTCAGCCCCCTGAGAATGTAGGATTCTAGATCTGGGGTTTGGGCGTTTAGGTTGCTCCCGTTTTACGACCAGTATGTACCAGAGGCATTTTTCGGTGGGCAGGCTAGGGTGAGGTGGCTGCCGTAGGCATGTGTAGTGTTCTTGGGGATATCACAGCCAGCAATAGAGTGCAAGATTGTATCTTCCTCGGGGTATATTGCTTCACAAGAAGGACATAATCTTTTTTGGTTCAACCGAAAGAATGCGGTCACATGGGTAGTTGCAGTAGATTGTTATTCGTAATGTGTAGGTCATCATTCTTGTGATTTTGCTTTGGTATGGGTTTCCATACGAGATTCCTCGCCACGTCGGGAGAGAAAGCTAAGGCAAACTACCACGCAGAAACGTTTCCGCGCAGAGAAATATGCACATATCGGGATTCGTGTCAAGAGTCGAGGGTTAAGGACTGTTAATTCCACCGTTACTTCGTAGGGTCCTGAGGACTGTGTAGAGTGGGATCCTTGGTCATGTTGGTGAGGTCATGTTTATGTGTATATATATACACTTTGTATACTTGTTCCTCCTGGCAGATGTCAAACATTGCAAAGAGAAAACTGAGATGTTCAACAGCAGGGGGAGGCGACAGTTTCCGGGACATGCAGGAATCCAGCATCACCGATCACTTTCGAGATGCCTTTGGCCCACACATTCTTTGGGGAAGGTACGAACAATGCTTCCTTGCGCGCACTGAAAGTTGCTGCATGGGCTTCGGTATCACATAGGGAATTGTGCTGTGTGTAGCATCGTCCGACAACGAAACAGCCAAAACTGATTTGTCAACCCCATGCTCTACAAATCTTTACTCTTACCTTTCTGCCTGCCCTGAACCTTCAAGTCTGAAGGCCTGGGGAAGCAGCTCTGTACCCTAAGCTCGGAACCCTGCACCCTATTCCTATAAACAAGCCATCCAGGTCGTGGTGCTGGCGCCCATCCTGGGTATGCTCATTGGCTGGGTGGGCTACGCCTGGATGTGGTACACCTCAGTTAGCCATAGCTCCGTGCACCAGGTGGGACGCACTTTGGGGGGTTCAGGGATGCTGAGCAGACAACATGGTAGCTGCCAAGAGAATGGGTATCGGAGTATGCTTGTGGAGGGACCCTTAAGAGGACCCATTATGGCGAACCACCCCCAACTTCGCTGTGATGGAGGTGCTGCAGACCTGTGTCACAATACTCGTGGCCTTCTTCTCCTTCTACCTTTCCGAGAAGCTCGGCGTAATAAAGGCTCAAGAGTTATAGTCCCCAAGCCCCCCAGAACGAAAACACACAATTGTCCCTTATGATCAGTCATGGCAATAATCTCTAGCTAGGACTGTCCGTCGAAGACATCTTGTGGAAACATTTGGAGCTCTTAGAGTCCTGTGAAGCTTTGCAGGAGTTCCCAAATTCTAAGGAGTTGACTCCTACTAAACATTATAGTCGCCCTTAAGTAGATAGAATATGGCTTATCCCATCTTCTTCTACTTAAGGCAGACCATAAGCCTTAAAGCCTATCCCCAAACAGCTTTAGGCAGTCGCCGGCCCTTGTAGGACTTGCCCAGCTTAGGATGGAATACGGGAGCAACGGCATCCGCACGACAAGCGTTGCTGCTTTGGCACTGACGAGGTCTCATGGCAGGGTGCATTGCGATTTCAGGGTTTGGGGTTAGGGTGCGTTAGAATTTCAGGTTCATGGGCTGAAGGGTTGCCGCTTTAACATCAGGAATTCGGGTGCCGGGTTTGGGGCTTTAGGCTCTCTACAGACGGAAACAACCTGCATCCAGGTCGTCGAGTAGTATACTGGCACGGTTTACGGCAAGATATGATGTAGGCTTCTTTGTCTTTTATCCTCCTCGACATCTATTCTTAACCCCGACAGCTGTGAATCCCCACAGTTTCAGGCCTGAGCTGTAGATTGCACCCTTGAATCCTACATTCCTTAACCTTAACTGCTAACGTGAAAATCCAAACCCTCAACACCATTCCCTACAATCCTGATATAACCCCTATCTAATCCCAATAATCCCTGTAGTTTCCATTCTATTTTCCATTATCCCAATATAAACACCCTAAACCCTAAATCCCTAAACCCTAAATCCTAAACCCTAAATCCTAAACCCTAAATCCTTAAACCCTAAACCCTAAATCCCCAAACCCTAAATCCCTCAACAACGTCCTCCTGAAGGTATGTGGGCCCCGTCCTGTGCTCCCCAGAGGCACTGCAGAACTTCTGGAAGGTGGGGCGAGGGTTGGGGAGGTTAGGATTTAGGGTTTAGGGTTTAGGGGGATCCTCCAATGATTGGAAGGGTTGAGGGGCTTTCGGGCTCGGGAGCCTAGCCGTTTCAGAGGTTCACGAAGTTCACGATCTTAGGGGTTCAGGTTTGGGGTCAGTCATGGGGGAGCGAGGAATGCGGAATGCGCTTCAGTTGCCTCTGGACGTACTGCTTCCTACCTTGACTTGATTGGCGCTCCATGATACATTACACGTACTACAGCAGCGCTTCCAAATTCCTCCACCATGCGGGAAGCGACTTCTTCAGGGAAGTTGCCATTGGGGGCAAAACATGCGGCAAAGCGCAAGTTGGAAACGCGGAACGGCGTACACCCGGGTCCGTGCCTTTGAAGGCCCATAGGCCGTGGCCAAGGCAAATGCTGACAATCATGATCTAGAGGTTTCTCAAATACCGGGACCTGTCGAAGGAATACTTGAGGATAGCGAGGAAATTGTTGGTTTTTGTGGCTGAGGACTGTATAAAGGCCTTGTTCAGAAGTTCGCCATGTGCAACAAAACGATTTGCGGACTCTGAGACTGGTCCGGCGAGACCCAGTATGACCCCAATATTTTTTTGTTTTTCAGGTTCCAACGCCCTTGCAAGCGTTCCGGAAGCCCAGTACATCCCAAGGATTTCTTCATGGGTGTTGATTTTGAAAACCTGTCCTCAATCCTAAAGCCCCTTACTCCAGGTTCCCAGTTGCATGTCCATCAGGAATCCCTAGCGCTCCGAAACAGGTCTTGGAGTTTGTGGTTAGTGCTCTCATCTTCTTCATCGCCGGCATGATCACCCACAGAGCCAGCCTCTCCGCAAACGTCTCGCTGATGGACCCAGGGTTGGGGTCGGAGTAGTGGGGCGGGTAGGTAGGCCTAAGATAATCCTCCTTCAGGGAATGCCAGTGCAAAAGTCTGCTTGTTTTGCAAGAAAAACATCCTAAGCGTCATCAAGCATTAAGTCCAATGCGCGTCCCAGTCATAGTTCCTCTCTTTCCAATCCCCCTCCATGTCGACAACACACTGAAGCCCAGCAACCCAGCACCAGGCAGTAACCACCGGCCCTGCGATGTCCCACGCTGCGCAGTTTCACAAGTCAAGTCTCCCAAATCCGGTGTTATCAGGGTGGCATGCATCATAATTTGCCGGCCTCTTGGCACACGCAGGTTTCTGGTCAGCATAGTTGCCAGCCATCGTCAGATATTATCACGTCATGCACGGTCCCTGCCCAAGTGCGAACCTAATCAGCAGTGCTGCGGCCTTGGTCAGGATGGTTTCAGGAGCTGAAGCCTACATTGTTCGAACTGAGGGTGGTCATTGGATGGGTTGACCTCTACGCAAGGGTCCTGGGTGCGCTCCCACAGCAGCGGACGTTCCATGATGTCAACACAGCAAAAAGGAACCAGGTTGATAAAAAACCTGGGTGTTTCAGTGCTCCAGGCAGCCATATTGGATGCCAGTGAACAAATGCTGGGCTTGTGTACTTTCAGCTTTCGAATGTTCAAACCATAATTTCGTGCATACGATCATGAGAGCATCCATACCCAAACCGTGCTAGCGATCGTGTTCCAAGAGCATACGGTGACCAGGGCATCCATGCCCAAACCATGACTCCGTTCGTGTTCCAAGAGCAGACGGTGACCAGGGCATGCATGCCGAAACCATGACTCCGTTCGTGTTCCAAGAGCATACGGTGACCAGAGCATGCATGCCGAAACCAGAATTCCGTTCGTGTTTCAAGAGCATACGGTGACCAGGGCATGCATGCCCAAACCATGATTCCGTTCGTGTTCCAAGAGCATACGGTGACCAGGGCATCCATTCCCAAACCATAATTCCGTGTTCCAAGAGCATATGGTGACCAGAGCATCAAACCATGATTCCGTGCGTGTTCCAAATCATACGGTGACCAGGGCACCCATGCCCAAACCATTATTCCGTTTTTGTTCCAAGAGCATACGGTGACCGGGGCACCCATGCCCAAACCATTATTCCGTTTTTGTTCCAAGAGCATACGGTGACCAGGGCATCCATGCCCAAACCATGATTCCGTTCGTGTTCCAAGAGCATACGGTGACCAGGGCATCCATTCCCAAACCATAATTCCGTTCGTGGTTCAAGGTGCTACCAGCTCGCTATGGAGTAGGACTTTGGGCAGGCCGCGGCATCCATCAGCTGATATCTTCAAGTTCTAAATTTTTCCATGTTGCCCTTGGTCTTATCATTTAAATAGCACAGAAACCAGAATAATAAACACATTTTTGAACATAAAAAGTCTTTCCTAATTCCCCCTTTGGCAACCAGGCCTTCCCCTGAAATTTGGAATCTGCCCGAAACACAGGCGAAAACCAGTTCAGCAACCTCAAAGCAGCATTTTTTTTAAAATGTGCTTGTGACCACCAAAAAGTCAATCTCGAGGGCCATCCCATCTCCCAATGCCTTCCAAGCATTTCAGACTTGCTTATACGGCGCCTTTGTTGCTCTTAAACAGTCCTTAACTCCTACGAGCATTATTGAACATTTTGGGTACTCATTTGGTAAATATGCACGGCCCTTAGCTGCCTTGACCCAAAAATCTTCAGGCATGGCAGCCCGCTTTATTCGGGGAAGAGGTTTGCTTTTGTGAAGAAAGATACCATTCTCGAGCCAATAGCCTATGCTTCGAGCTTTCGGAGACGTTGTCTTGTCCTCCGTGAAGGGCGAAAGCATCCTTAAAGTTTTGTCTGGAGCGCCAGCTTTCTGCCCGCATTCTCTCAATGAACAGAAGTTCACGTTGTGGTGCTCGGTGCTCCGCGAGTGGTCAGGACTGCGGCTATTGCGTGGCGCTCTTCATTCTCACCATGCTGACGCTAGGCTAACTCAGGATCAGGTTTGACAGCCCTCCTTGGGTAGAGTTCGGAATCTGAACAAAATGAAGAAGAAATTCCTACACGTGTTGACCCGGTCTTACTTCAACGCCCAAATACATTTGTTCCAGCATTTACATTGTACGGTCATGATTTTGTTGTTTTGTGAGCTGGCATCTATCTGGTTTCTCGTTTTTCTGTTGAACGCTTGTCAGGCAATCTTCGCGAGGTCTGAAGCACCAAACCACTTCTTTTTGATTAGCATGAGTGGGTAGCATCTTAAAAATGGCTAATGTGGTTGGAATCTGCGGTTCCTCGATTGATTGCAGTGGCCAGACATGAACTCCAAACCCCAGAGCTTAATCCCCGAACCTGAACCCCAGCTCGATGCGCACTTTGTCCCCAAGCTCTGAGCAATCCTAACTCGAAACCCTGAGCCTTGAAGCTGAAGCCTTGAGCCCAGGATTCGCGCGGCCGTGGTTCTAGGCTCCTACCCCTTTCTGCGCCAGATGGGTGTGGCTGGGTCATTATTGGAGTCACGAGTTTTTCAGCAAGGGCCAATGCTTTGGATGTTGGGGGTGGGTTTTCTCGGTATTAGGTTTGCAGCTTGTTTGCAACGCTTCCGTATCAGGATTGATTCAGGCAAGGGTTTCGGGTTGGCGTCCCTCGGAGAAATGAGGTTCAGAATCATGATCCCTATAGGTCTCGTTGTGAGAAATCCGGCCCTCTTACAGCACCGCACATCAGAATTGAACTGCCTCAACCCTGGCGAAGCACATTTGGAACGTGGTTACAACATTTCAAAGTGAAAGGAGTAGGCTTTACACCAAGCAGCCTACGCAGGGCACAAGGTGATGCCCCCCACAGGCCAATTGCGACCACATGGCCCACAGATTCGTACTATGCCCCTTTTTGGGGTGTGGGCACGGCCTAAGATAGAAAGGACGCGAATACTTAAACTTTTGTGCCTTAGAGCCTAAACTGAGGAGAGCGCACTTTGTCTGGATGTACCCAACATGTATCCATGGGACCCATGAGGGTCCCAAACGCATCATATCCCAAGTCTATTCGGCTAGCCCCCATCCTGATATGGCCTTAAATCACATTGGTGACATAGTAACACCATTCTGCCTCGGTCAGAAAAAGTGTGTGGACAAAAAGCCTTCCACTGTTATAGTACTTGCATTTCCTTTCCTTGTTCTTTTCCATTTGGGTCGCTATTGACCCTATGTGTTGCTTAATGGTGCTTGAGGGGGAGTATACATGGTACCTATATTCACTCCCCCACTCCCCCTTAAGCAGCAGTAGGGTTACAGTAGTTGTTGCCTTCCGGAACAAGGTAGGCCTGAAGCCACGCGAGTTTGTCTTCGTGATCCTGGGCCCTACTGGGGGTTTTAGGGTGTGGTGGTTTTCCAAATTGAAGGGTTCTTAGCGGTCCTGCAAGTGTTGAGTGGGAGTTCCTTCAAAGTGTTAGTCTTGATGAACTTCCCCAAGACAAGGAATACTGTTTTTTTGGTTTTTCCTTGCTCCATACCACCGCAACCACCTCAAATCGCAGGGGCTTCTGGTTTAGCTAACCCAACCTTACTCAACCCCACCACAGATTATGGTTTGTGTGGAAGATAGTTCGAATAACTGTTTTTTCCCAAGCTGAGCCCTGCAGCCGCTAAACCTCATAAGGACATGAAAAGAAGCAGTAGACCTACCGTGAGTCTGGAGCACCAAAATCCAAAGCCCTGAAACTCCCAAACCGGCCCCAGCCCATAACCACCTCTCGCCCCTTTCGACCTGGCATTCAGTAGGCAATGGATCCCCATCGGAGCCCCTTTGTTGTTCCCCATAACAGTCCTTAACACCCGTTGCCCGGTTGCCAGCCTCTTGCTAAGCGCCAAGAAGTCTTGGTACTTGAGAACCCAAGCAGCAGACCCCCTAAACCCTAAACCCTGAGAACCCTTAACCCTAAACCCTGAACCCTGACCCCTCAACCCTGAGAACCCTAAACCCTAAACCTTGAGAACCCAAGCTACAAGGATTCTCGGCGGAGTTCGCGGGGCCATTTCCCTGGCCTTCGCCATGTCGGCACGCTCGGCGATGATAGCCGCGGACGAGCGGCCTGCGGCTTCGCTATTCTGAGCCCGGTTGGTGTAGAGTTGAGGGTTCAGGGTGTAGGGGGAAAGGTTTTAGGTTATTGGTTTAGGGTTCAGGAGTGGCAGGTAGGTATGGGAGTGTAGGGGTATGGGCTCCAGGGGCATAGGCTTGCTTGCTCAGGGATTCTTTGCCCCAATTGTTTTTGGGGCACTGTCTACACCATCGGGTCTTACGTTCAATCCCGAAACCCTAAGGTTCTAAACTCACAACATGCTAAACCCTGTGAATCCTAGATGACGATGACTGGTGCAAACCTTCCTTCAGGTCGGTGACCGCGTGGTCTTCCTGGTTGCAGGGCTGTGGCTTAGCTGTGCAACGGAGCTTTGTGCAGAGGCTTTGAGAATTATAGTATACATAGCTACATTTGGTAGGGGTAGGGAGGAAGACTGAGACGTGCTCCCTCCCACGGTGTTTTGAGCCAACCCCTGAGGCTGTTGTCCGGGGCGTCGTTTTTGAAGCCCTTGAGCCACCATCTTCGTGTCTTAGTTTAAGAGCAATCCGTCTTCAATATCTGTGAGCTGTTGGTGTTTTTTGTGCTCGATCTCAACAGCGCTGACACATGTCGCTCACTACCCACGCCGCAAGGGAGGGAGAAACACCACGTCGAGTACCAGAGGCCCACTGGGCTACTAGGTGCAGTAATAATTCAGAACGCCATGCAACAAGCCCAGATGGAACTACCACAGGCGGGAAGAGGTAAACAACTTGCACTATCTGCCAGCGGGGCAGAATGGTGGTTCTTTTTAGCAATGGATTCCTATACAAGTCTCAGGATCAAGGAATTTCTAACGAATGTGATGGGTCCCGGCTTAGACATGTGTCTTGTTTTGGGACGAGTGGCACATCCTTCTCTTTCCCAAACTGCCCTGTGCTAATCACAAGTACTATAGTGAGAATGGTCATGCTTTTCTTTTCACTGTTACTACTGCATTGACTGTAAGGGTTACACGTGGCTAACTGTTGTTATCCGTAGCATGGGGGCCCATGACCTGTATGTTAAACGATGGTAAGAATGATGACTGGTTCGGTAACCACCGAAAACGTGACTTGTACCTTCATACTATTTGTCCGAAGATGTTTGCCCAAATAGTTTCGTTCCTCCAGAGAAAAACATCCCTTCCGAAGGGGCCCCCTGATTTTGGAAGAGTGTTAAAACACTAAACCAAGAACCATCTTACACTCTTCAATGTGTGCTCTCGCCATCCTAGGTCTAAAGCTTAACTTGTGAAATTGCAATACTGGGCTGACCAAGGAACTGTTACAGGTGGATACAGGGGTCCTGTGGTTTAATACAGTCCTGTATAGATTCCTTAGCAAGAGCTTATATAAGACACATAGCTGCCATCATGTTTGCTTTTGTAATTCAAGGTCCTTCTTGAGCATGGTGGTGAACACCGCCGCGACGAAACTCGTGCATGCCAAGGTATTGTGGGCCTTATGCTAAGGGATGCATTCGCCCTGCAACCCTATAGATCCCCATATCGAGTCTATGTCTCCTTCTCTGATCTTATAGAACCCTATGTAACCCCATTAAAGATCCCCATTCCTAACTAAGAATGAAAGGAAAATTTTCGTGCGCTTGGCGGGAGTTGAGAGCTCTGCTTCGAGCGACAGCAAGCAGGAGTGCCATGGAATTGTTATGATCGGATTACACGCTGGAAGCTAAATAGAATCTGAGCTTCAAATTGGGATTTGAAGGTATATACTGTATATACATGAGTCCTGAGAACTCTTTAGATTGTAGGAACCGAGGCATATCTAGGGTGTTTTCGTACCTGCAATGCTAGTTTGGCGCCTCTTGCTTCGACCTGTTTAGGGCTCACTACCTGTTACCGTCCCATGCAAACTGAGGACACAGAACTCTCAACGTGGGGGTTAGGGTTATCACTTCAATGTACCTTGAGCCCAAACCTTAGCCGCTGAACCTGTGCCTGGAATAGTCTGAACCAGCAAATGAGCATCCTGCAGCTGCTATAAAATCCTGACTAGTTCGGACGCGAAACTTTCAGAGTCACCACACTAAGCTCAACCGAGCACTTGTGGACCACCTTCTTGAAATCCTGGACTGAAAATCCTAATTATTGGAGATGCCAAGGGAAGGAGAGATAGGGGTGGACCTTTATCAAATTCCCTGAGCATCCCTTGAATCTCCCAGCTTCATCATGTTGGGTCTGTACTCTCGTGCCCCCAAACTCCGAATCGTTGGACGTGACAATGTTCCTGCCGTCTTGGCCGGGATGTCCGAACCACAGGGTTAAGTTTAAGCCGAGCATGATTCATTACTTTGATGGGATCTGTGTCCTAGGATCACTCTAAATGATAATCAGAAGATTACCTACTGAACTCAACCTTTCCCTGAGCTGTGCACATGTCAACCGGCTTTCTCTCTCAAGGCTGACTTCGCAGCTGTTTGACCTTTTGTTGTTAGAAGAGGTTGAAACGTTCTTTGCACATTCCATGCTGGAAAGCCCTATGCGCAGCTGAGGTACCTCGACTACGTATCCGCCCGAGTCTCTAAGTGCGGGCCCCAGTTGAAGGGCATCGCTTTTCCCAGCAAGGTTTGGGCTTAGCCTTCCCATACCTAAGCTTGAACCCTCAACTTCAAGACTTCACCCCTAAACCCACGTAGGATTTGGTAAGCGGGCCCGCATGGAAGCCCCCCAAAGATGACGAAAGGAATTGCCTTTGGGCGAGCATTCCGTTTGAAGTTGGTGCTTGGGGCTTCAGGCATAGCTTCATACTTACTTGTCTTTTCCGCTACCGGAGCCTTAAGCCCTAAACAGTGGCTTTTGTTTTCTTTTTCTACTCCCAGGGTCTGGGCGCTTCAGACTTGGAGCCTACATGCACTTTCAGCCGTAGAGCGGAAGGGGTTTACTAAACAGTGGGGGTCCCTTTGCTTGGGGATTACTTAACAAGGTTTCGCAGTATTTTGGAGTACATCATAAGGGGCCCATAGTTTTTGGTAACCACCCATGCAAGAAGTTGGACTTCAAGCAATTCGACAATGGGAAGCCGCATCATTCGTCTTGGGTTTCTGGAGTCGTCAAGCCCTGAACCCTAAAACATAAGCCCTAAGCCCTAACTGATTGTGGTTCATCCTTTTCACGCCCAAATGCTGATTTCTCAGAAGCGCAGTGTCCTTTTGGTCAACCAGGTACGCCAGGCAGCAGTACAAGGAAATCTGCTCCAACATGAGGGTGAACGCCGTTGAAGCGCTGGATACGCTTCCGGCCCTCCAGGATCTGAAAGGCACCCAAGAGGCCGGCCTCCTTGAACACACATGGGTGGTTGTCAAAATTATGGTCCCTTTTTAGATCCCGATTATAATACGGCACGTAATATTTAGGGTACCCAGAAAGGGACCATAACTTTGGCAACCACCCACATGGAACTTCTTTTAACAAAGAGATTGGACTCTCGTCAGGTTGCTTCCTCGTTTATTCAGGAATTTTGCACTTAGGGATTCAGGCTCAAGTTGTCAAGGACGGGATCTAAGATTTAGGGTTTGAGGCTTCACTTGGGTCTAAATTGCAACAGTTTGTAGACAGGTTTCTTGGAAGGTAGCATTTCAAAGCAACACCAAAGTCAAGTCAAGTCAACAAATGGTAAGGTTCAGGTTTGCGCTTGCACCAGCTAGCCCTTCCATTTGAAGATGCTAAACCTCGGCTCCCCGAAAGAATCCTCCCCCAGACTTAGGATCCTACTAGGCTTTATTAAGCCCTATGTAATCCTTATTTGCTTCAAAAACCTTAGGGGGAGTATGTTAGGGGATTCTTCCCTTAATATTGTATTGCACCTTAAATCCAAGTCTGAAGCTGTAAAGCTTAGATGATGCTTCGACTGCGCTGAAGAGGCTTATCCCTTCGGCACGGAGGCCCCGCCTGCAGCTCTGCTTGTTTCCATGAGGGTGTCTCCAAATCCTGGGCTTGTTTTTTTCTGCGCGGTGCCGGGGGAATCTTGCACGTTTCTGTTGAAGGGTTCTTTCATGTCAGAGCTTCTGGAAGGGATTTAGGGTCTAGAGCTTTTGAGTTTAGACCTCGAAACTTAGGACTTGGGCCCGGGAGTTTGGGGTTCAAGGCTTGGGCTCCGAATCGCACGAAGAACTCCAAACCCCCAGGCCTTTAAGACCTTGAATCCTAATCACCCAGGCTCTCTGGACTCGAGCCGTGTCGCCCGAAGGGCCCGAAGAAAGCCGCTAGGTTTGGAGAAAGGAGGGTTTGGGTTTTACGGTTTTAAGAAAAGGTTTAAGGGTCCAGGGTTTATACCATTTCGTTTAGGGGTAAGAGATAGAGAATTTGTCAGCGCAGGACATCAAGAGAAGCTAGGCCGGCCCCTTCCTCCACTACATGAGCAAGAGCTGCTATGGACCCCCATGATGTACACTTGCCCAAGCACTGTGGAGCTCCATCCACGTGGGAGGGGGGTTTCGGAGGCCAGAGAAGCACGTACGCAACTAGGGCCCCACTGTTGAAAGCAGCTCTGGGCTTCGGTAAGCCTGCATTACAAACCATAGCTCCTAAACATTCAAATGCCCCGCAGAACCCAACCTCTGCATGAACATTTGCTGAACTCTTGGATTTCATGCCTGGAGCTTGCAAATCGGGAATGTCTCAAACTATGGTCCCCCGTCTTCTAGGCCTCAATGTATTAGGTGCTATCGTAAACAGGAGCATAACAAAGGGTCCATGATTTCTAGCAAGCGCAACTCCCTAAACCTCAAACCTTCACCGCCCCAAATCCTAGACCCCTGGGCCGGGTTGCTGTTAAGGAACTTAACTCAAGCTACCACAACATGGGCATATAGTAAATAATAGTGTGTCCTCATTACAGTAACTTAGTTTAAAGTCCTTGACAGCAACCCAGTAAAGCTATCAGACCCTGGATCCCTAAACTTTTGGTAAACTAGGAATGAAAGAATGGATCCTTACAGTAGTCTCTATATAACCCATAGTAGTTTCCATTTTCTTTTCCATCCCCAGCCATCCAAAGCCCTAAAACCCCATCAGGTCTGCTGTGCAAGTTGAGCTCACGCCCGGCCGCCAACCCCGTCAAGATGAAGCTGTGCGAGATGTAGGAATATACGGTCTTGAGAACTACGTAGGAGGTTCGGGATTTAAGGTCTGGGGCTTAGGATTTGGGAGTTTAGGACTATTGCTCAATTTTTTTTTGGATTTTGGAGTTTAGGACTCTGGTTTAGAACTTTAGGTTTGGGGTCTAGGACTAAGGGTTTCGGACTTAGGGGCGTATAGGGCTGTTGGAAAGAATGCATCATGCTTTTAACTACCGGCTTAGCTTCCAGCCCCTTATCATGGCGTCCATTCATTTTACCTTAAAAGCTATTCATGAACTTCCCTACTATCCCTCCAGGTTCTCCCTTAAATCACAGTTGTTCAAGGATAGTCCGGACTAATTCAGGGGGAACCGACCCTAAACCCTAAACCCTAAACCTAGGGGCCCAGGTAGTTGAGTATGGGAACCCACGAAGCAAATCGAGGAAGATCCTTCGGGAGACCTTCCTCCGCATCGTGCGGAAGCGACTGGGCAGGGAGGGTTCAGGGTTTAAATTCTTTGATGGTTTAGATTTTTTGAGGGTATTTAGGGTATTTAGGCTTTAGGGTTTGGGGTTTTCTGGTTTGGGGTTTAGGGTTTGGGGTTTAGGGTTTAGAGTTTAGGGTTTAGGAGTTAATGTTTTAGGGTTTAGGCCTCGGATAAATTCCGTTCGTGGGTTTCAGAATCACCTTCCTCGAATCATACAACTCGCCACCCCAACCCTATCATAAATATTCCCCTCTTGCACAATGGTGTCATGTTCTTCAAGGCAGGAGTTTACATCCGGACAACTCGGCTCCTTTGTTTGTGCGGTAGTGCGTGTACTTAGCACACCGCGGGATGTTTTTCGGGTTTAGGAATGTAGGGTTTAGGGCTTACAGTTTGGGGTATTCGAGTATAGGGTTTGGGGTGCGGGGCTTCAGGTGTATGTACCGGGTGTCCTAAGGTGTCCTATATGATTGTCCTCTTCATTCTGCTACGAGCAAAACGGTTATCATTCCTTTTTCAAATCATATCCACTAGTATACTTCTCTTATCACTGTGGTGCACTGTGTTTCAAAGGTATTTCAACATGTTCTTCAATTTTTTTCAGGTTCTCACATTTAATGTCAGCTTGTTTCGGTGTGTAGTGCTTACGGATCATGGGGATTGGGATCAGTGTTTGTGACCCGGGAAGGCTACGCGGTGCATGGCTCGCAGGGTAGGCGTTCGCGTGAAGTGTACCCACCAGAACCCCTATGGAGATGCCCTGTTCTCTTGGTTTCTGCTGGTGAGCGGCTGAGTCGAAAGATCTTGTCAGCGCTTATTGTCCCAAACCTATCCTTTATAACCTAATCCCTCAATCCTCCAAATTTTCCTTCAAAGAGATGCCGATGTGCTTTCTGTGGCCCAGGAAGTATTGGGACCTGATGGAGCTGCCTGACTCGAATAGATAAAAGAAGAGGATCATGTAAAGGTCTATTTATAGGCAATGTTTCAGGCCTCTGCCCTACCCGCATGTGGTTCAGGGGATTCAGAGATTCCGAAGCCAAGCCCAAAATCGAAGCCCTCTCCCCAAGCTTCTCACCCTGAATGTCCAATCCAAACCGGCAGCCCGAACTTTTTACCCAAAGCGATGAGCATTAACATTTACCGGAGGGGGCGTCATTATCGATTATCGATACCATGGTTTTGAAAGTGTTGATGGTACCACTGATCCTGGTTGCCAGTTCCGCAGTGGCAGGCAGCACCCGAGTCATCTTAAGCTGCAACCATAGGTCCCAACCCCAAAGCCTCCAATTCCAGGAAGCAGCTCGAATTCAACCACCCCAACCCTGAACCTTGCTGTTAGTGGTGGAATTCTGCATGACCCAAGCTGCACTATAATGCAAGGAATCCCTGGAGTCAAGAGATGGAGGGTCATGCGGGATGTTGTCCATGAACTGTACTAGCATCATAGTTTGTGGCGAAGCAGAATACGTACAAAATATGCAGCAGACGCTAGTAGCACTGGCAACAAGTCGAGTTGTAACACATCACGCTCGGAATAGCCAATCCTAAGTAGGTACAGTAACAGTGGTATGTCAATAATCCGATTTGTAGAAATGATGGCATGCCGAAAATGTGTAAGAACATCAGCAGTAAACGGCAAAACAGGAAACCTAGTCATCCCTATCATCCTTCTCATGCTACCTATGGTAAATAGAAATAGAGCAAGAAGATTAGCCACAAACCGCAAGCCCAAGACTTGAAGCCTTAGCCGCAAATCCTCAACCCTAAACCCTGAACTACTAGGAATTCAAACTCCCAGGTCGGGTCACCTCCCGAAGAAGTCCTCCGCTGCATTGAAGCTGCTGGATAGCCTGGCTGCAGCTCTCAGCGATTCAGAGGTGCCATGGAATTGGGGCTTTGCTTTTTGAGGCATGGGGTTCACAGTTGAGGGTTTTGCACTTTGAGTTTATGGTTACAGCTGTAGGCTTTAGGGTGTATGTCTTAGGGCCTAGGGGTTGACGGTGAGTGACTCAAACTTCAGAGGGTTTGCAGCTACGGGCTAAGAGTTGGAGATTTGCCGCAGTTGGCCTTCCATGTGAGATTTAGTATGGGAATTTGGGGAATTTGCTAAAGCATGGTCTGTTCAAAGTCCTACGGTTGAGTTGGGATAGGTTCAAGCTCTAGCCACCAACAGCTCAAGCTCATTACACGGAATGACCCGCGCTATAACCAGGTCGTATCTTATCGTCTGTTGTAGTTGTAGCTGAAAACAAGTGTTTCGTGATAGACCTACCTGGAAGCTTACAAGAGGGCAGTTTTCATAGTATGCGTATGCTTGCTGTCTCTCAGGGGGCAAAGAAGCAATGAACAAAAGGAAAGGGAAACTATAACATTCTTCTAACGGGGGGCTATCAGGGAATAAGGCAATGTACTTATAATCCCTACATAGTCCTTATGTAGTAATAGTATATTCCCTTATTCCCTGGGAACCCAGTAAGTATTGGGGAGGATCTAGCCGGGACTCTTGGCATCCTTTCCTGGATTTCCCAGGAAGCACATGCGCTTGCGCCAAGAATCGGCTTTGCCCTCGACTGCAAGCCTTAAGTCGCGCTGTAAAAAGCTGCAATCCATGCCCAGAAGGCAAACCCTAGGGAACTAAGGGGAAAATAAAAAAAGTGACATAGGGATTACATTACCTGGGTGGTTCTCAAAATTCTAGAGGCCAATTCGGTTATAGAGTACATTACGGCACCTAAGATTTAGGGGTACCAAAACAGGAGCCTGATTTTGGGAACTCCCCATATAGGAATTATATTGCCTCATTGCCTACGCAGTCTAAGCCTTGACTCCCAAGTGGAGTCCTGACAGGTTGAGCTCCGGGATTGGCAACTGCTTGAGGAGCACTGGGCGCCATCCCCTTGAGGGCTTAGGGTCCAAGGTTCAAGGATGTAGCGTGTACTGTTCGCGGATGAGGGGCTTGCAGCCCCCAAACCTGGGTTTGGGGTTTAGGGCTCATGGAGCTTCATTGCGACTCGGTTTTAGATGCGGCTATGGTTTGCTAGCTCTTAAGCTGCTCCTCAGCTCTCGAAAATGCAGTCCAACGCTCTCCAAGCCGAAAAGGAGGTTTGCAACAATGCGGGCAAGTGCCCCCCCAAGCCCGAAATTCTTGAAAAGTAGCCTCACCTGGCTTATAAGTTCATTTCGGTGCCAGTTGTGCAGGGCGTACTGGCTAGAGGAGTTTCCGCCTGAGACCTGGAAGGCTGAAGACGAAGCAGCTGTACCTGAAATCCTAAGTCCCAACACGTTGAAGCAAATCCTCATCCCCAAGTCCGGAACCCTGGGGCTGTCAGTGGGACTTAGATTCCTGGAAGGTTTGATCACCAGGTTGAAGGTTTGCGGGTAAGAAGTTCAAGTTCGCGGGTTCGCGGGCTGTGAGGGTGTTCATCCTCGTGGTCTCATTACTCGGCCACTCCTTAAGGAATGGAGGCTTCTATGTTCACAGTCCCAGAAGCCATGCACCTTGCATACTGTACAGTATTTTAGGTGTTAAGATTCCTGCATGGCATTACCACACAACAATTACAATTCCCCAGGTCGAGGGTATTTCCTGAACCTTGACACCCAAGGCCCTCCCCTGAACCCTACACCTTGAAATCCCAGCGACCTTCTTAGCGGGGGAGAAGCTTGTTCAAGGAGGCGCTGAAGTCGAAGGGCGCCCTGGAAAAGATGCTTGCATCTCTGCAATCTGTTGCGCCTACCTGGTGCACTTGGATCTTGGGACTGCGATGGTTTGGTTCCGGGCTAGGGGATTTAAGGTCCAAGGTTAGATCCTCATTGAGTATTCTACGTTTCATATGTCTGAACCCTACATAAATCGTTTAGCCTTTAAAAGAAGCTGCAGGCCTGGATTGGGACTCTGAGACCTGTTTAGGGTCTACAGTGTCTACAGTGGGACACTTGGAGCTGCTAATACTCTGGCCACGGGAGCACAAACCTACCCTCCTCACAGTACTGGGAACTTGACCGAGCTTCCATGCCTTCAAGTTAGCTAATACATACAGACTGTAGTCATGAAAGGATGATGGACCCATTAAGGAGGGAGGATACTTGAAGCATCTAGATGGCGCAGGGATAGCATAAGCATAGGCCGTCGGAATACATGTGGATTGTAAAGTATGGTTTCCAAAAATATGGCCTCTCTGGCGGTGAACTCCTGTTGTCAAGATCTTATCGTCGTTCAGGATTTTCTTTTTTGGCACATCTTGAGACGTTTGGCAGATAACTGGGTCTATAGTCCCCCTTAAGTAGATAGAATATGGGTTTGGGTATGTCATAATAAGATCCCCATATACCCCATATTCTATCTACTTAAGGGGGACTAAGTAATCAGAAGAACGCGCTCTCGAACTACTCAAGCCCTTCAGGCACAGAGGCCGCTTGGAGCTACAAATCTGTGACTCACACCACTGGTTATATAGGGAGAATGGAAAAGAAAATGGAAGTTACTATAATGGAGAATCAGCTGGAAAAAATGGAAAATGAAATGGAAACTGTGGTTATATAGGGCCAACCTCCCCTGAAAAAGGAAGGGACTCACAAACTCCCAGTCGTGACTCAACCTGCTTCACGACCAGCGGAGGCTTTGAGGGTTTAACTGATTCAGAATTTGGGGTTTGTGGAAGTTCACAGTTAAGAGTTTGAGGAAAGAAGAGTCTGCGGAACAAAAAGAAAATGGGAGTATTCAGCGATCGTCGAGCTTTCGGGCCTCCATTTCGCATAATTTGGCATGCGCTTTTAACAGCGAGATATTCTTCTTGGGCCATGCTTCTTCGCACCCCCATCTTTTGAAGCTGCACCTCTGTTTAGATGCTCTTATGGCTGTAAAGTTCACATCCCCAAAGCCTAAATGCTAACCCGCACCAGAGCTGCACCTAAAGAATTCATTCCAACTAATTTAGAGCTTAAGAAGCAAGAATCCCCAAGCGTCTGGCGGGTCTGGTCTTGGAGGGAGGTGATTTTGTGAGAGCCAAGGATCCACGACATGCATTTCCGCTGGGTGCTCCAGTACGAGCTCGATATGCATCCAAGCAGTAAGGTTAGGGTCTAGGCTTTGTAGGACCGTTTAGAGTTCGGTTCCGGATTATGAGTCGGGGGTCTGAGGATGTAGCTGCCTGAGGGTTTGGGGTTGGGGGCGTGGAGTGGGTTTCTATCAAGACAGCACGATCCTTGATGTGCATCAGTTGGTTAGACTAGAGTGCTCAACAGCATTCAAACCTCGAGGCTGATGATCTCCTAAAGAGCCTGTACTGTACAATCCTGAGTGTTGAGGTTTAGGGTCTAGGGCTCGGAGGGAAGGCGAAGCATCATTTGCAAGGCAAACCCCCTTAAGAGGGGAGAATGCTTGTTCCGATGTGTAGTCTCCCTAAAGTAGATCGAATATGGCTCTGGGTAGATTATACTAAGATCCCCATAATTATACCCCGAATTCTATCTACTTAAAGGGGACTATATATGGTTTTTTCGGGGGAAGTTTCGCAGGACTAGCATGCGCCGCCCAAGATGCAACCCAGCCTACCCAACAAGGGTCAATTTTTGTATGGGCCAAGACAGTCGGGAGGCGAAGGCACCATGAACGGGGAGCAGCCCCAGAAGAACCTACACGTTTTGTACATGTTAAGGTCATGGCGCTTAAGCGCTGATCTTTAGGGAAAGAAGGAATTGACAAGCAAATGGGAAACTGTTGTATTTTGGGGTTTACATTGGGATTGCCGCCGGGTTTCGCTCTTGACCCTGAGGTATGTCGCCGTGGTATCCTTCCTTGCGGCGCATCAGCATGCGCAGCAATCTGTGGCTGACTTGCTGGGTGATGAGGTGCAAGATTTATTGTAGGTTGGGGGTTAGGGATTGGGACCTGAGTTTCTTGATTCGGAATTACAGATTAATGTTGAAGCCTCTCACAGTGCTTCGAAAAAAGGGGTTAGAGATTAGTTATTAAGTGTTTCGAGACTGGCGAGGGTCTGCAATTTACCGTATTTGTTGACGCCTGGCCGGATTAGGCAAGGAGAGAGGGTGCACTCAGCTTCTAACGAAAGTGGCCATTTTTCTGCAATGGGGGCTTCCAATTTTGAGCAAGAGGACACCCTGAGCCCTAAACCGCCTAAACCCTAAATGAGTCCCCATAGGACTCCTTAAGCAGGGACTCCCAGAATCATGTCCTTCATCACTAGGTTTTCTAGGGGCCCTCCATTGTGGCAAAACCCATCTGAAACCATTAGGTCACCCCTAAAGATTTCCTAGGCTCATGTATCACAGGGTTTATATCTCAGATCCTGCATGACCCTAAGTACCCCTAGATGTTGCAAACGGTGGGATTGTACTATCATGAGGTCATGCATTTTTTTCGTATCAACAATAGCTGTGAACCCGAAACGATCAAGTTGAAATCAGGGTATCGCTTAGGTGATTCTTGCTTCCACAGGAAAGCCGGCTGGACAGGGGTGTTTCCCCAAATGCCACCATGTCAATCGGCGTAGATCTGATCAAAGGGCTTCAGGGTTGTAACCCTGAGTCTGTAACCCCAACATTAATGGTCCCCTTGACGAACCCTGGGATCGTTCAACCTTCAAACTCTAAACCACCCAAACTGCCTTTGGATCCCCAGCCCTTTAGAAGGCCTGTTCAATCCCACACAATGTTTCCGATCATGCCCCTTTATGGCACTACTGGCGAAAATCCCTATGCCCTCTGAACCTAAGCCCTAAACCCGGCTGCAGAGGCCGGTTCGTCCGCGTACCTGACGCTGCTGTTGGAGTCCACGCGCCAAATGGGCGCTGCCCAGCGAAGTGTGGCTTTGATCCTTGGTTTCTGTTTTTGTTATTTAACTCCGGCTTTGTTTGTTTTGAGGACGTTCAGCAGGCTCTGCGAAGTTCAAATAGATCTTCCTCGACTCATCAGATTTCTCCGTCTTCTTCTGAGGCTCTTGATGGCCTTCGGTGGGTTTCGTTTGGCCAAAGAAGCTTCGATGGGACTCGCAGGTTTTACTAGGCGTCGGTTGACAGTGACGCACTGACATCGATTTTATCAAGACAGTTGATTTCTCTGGCCTTCCACCGTTCACGCGGTAGGAGAAGTCTGCAGGGTTTCAGGCGGTCGGTTGTGGATAGAGAAAATTCATTATTAGGGACATGCAGGTTCACCTCAGCATAGTGAGGATCCTACATGCAGGCTTGTTTGTACTACGCTGCGAGAATATGCACTTTTTTGGGAGCTATTCGTAACACTATGGCCGTGGCAGGGTTTGGGGTTCGGGAACTTTTCGCTTTTGCTAAGGGGGTATGCCAAACGTAACCCGACGACTAAATCGCACCTGAAAATGACAACGCTTTCCCAGAAGGTGTTTGGGGACGTTGAGGGTGTTGCAATGCGGCTTGCTCCTCACTGTCTGCAGGATCTATAGAGGAACATTTTCGCAGATTGTGGAAGGGAGACCATAATCGGTTTCGTGTTTAGGGTGGCATGCGTGTTGTTTGGGTTTGATGGTTCGGGCTTTGCCGGTCAAGGGCAAGCAAGAGCTTTTTGGAGAAGATGCTAGTTGTTCAAGCATGCGTAGCCGCAGGATCAGGACAACGGAGTCCGAGGCTCATTTATATTTGGGATAATGCCGGTGAATGCGGAGTTTCCACAAACCATTGGGGTCAGTGTCAAGGAGCGCCAAAGAACATCCCCCACCGACATGAGTTCGTTATGTCAGGGCCTCCAGAAGGGATGCTCTTGTCGCATATACCTCACCAAATCTTTTCATGATTCTAGATACGGGGGATTCAAAAAGTTTCGGGTCCTTTCTTGGATCCAAATAGTAGTGATTGTAGTATACCGGGGTTTCTATTTGGGGTGCCCCGTTTGCGGAGCTTTGTCCACAATTCCTACATCATCCCCGCCCTATACCGTCAGATTCAGAAGATCCCATGTCAGGATTGCTCGTGAGGACATCGACATCTTCAATGGCTCCATCGTGAGTGATTTGATCCTCAAGCGTGTGGCAGAGTTCATATACCAGCTCCTCGAGTAGTTTAGGGGTTCTGTTCAAACGTGATACGGTACTCAAAAGCACATTCCATTTTTGGGTCCCTAGTTTAATACGGTCCCTCATTTTAAGGCAATATTAGGGTGAGGTCATGCTCTTCTATCGTTTGTTTTAGGCGGGTTGTTCAAAGACAGAGAGGGCTTTACAATATGAGTCCTGGGCCAAATATGAGGAATTCCCCCACCTCACTTCGAATGGTGGTTTATGTAGACTTTGTCCCAAAACGGTTTCAGTAAAGGTTTTTGCAAGAGTTTCTCATTCGGCCTGTACTACATGGAACCTGACCTCAGCATCGCAAACCCTTAGCGCAAACCCTCAGCCGAAACCCTCAGCCGCTGAGCGCGAGCCCCCAAGCCGTTGACTTTCCATCATGAAACGCGTGTCCTTTTCAGGTTCCCATGATAACAGGCCCCCAATTTTTAGGGTATCCCAGACGGGACTATCACCGTCACAGCCCTCCATGTGACCTGTTTTAGAAATTCACTGAACCAACCTCAGTCCTGAACTCGAAAACTGAAACCTGCAAGGGCAAAACCTGCCCCAGGTTCGTACAGCAGGGGTTGATCACGGATGTTCAATCCAAGAGCATCTTGGTTAGCTAAGCGTTCAGGATTTAGGGTTTAGGAGTCTACAGGCTTTAGGATTCGTGGCTTGGGGTTTAGGTTTTCGGGTGCCGAATTTTTGAGTCAGGGCGTAGGGTCTGGGCCTCATGTTTAGTGTTCAGGGTTTAGAGCTTGGGTTCAGGGCTTAGGGCCTGGGAGTTTAGGGTTGAGGGTCTTTCCGGAGCCAGCAAGTACAGCCTTCCTTAGGCCTTCGAGTGGAAAGGATATCGATCAATCTCCAAGGATGAGGGTGAACCCTAAGTTCAGGGTTTTGGTGTAACAGTAGACCTTCTTTCCTCCAAATGTATGGTTTCTCAACACAAGAGGGGCTGTGGGCACGTGTACCGTGATGACAGCACAGCACCTAATAACGTATACCCTACGTCCTCAATCGCAATCTGGTTGCACCAAGATTCAGTTCTAAGCGCTCAGAGCCCTCCAGCCCTGAAGCCCGCATCTCAAAATCCTGAAGTCTCAAGCGGTATGGCTCCTAGGCCCTCAAAGCCTCACCCCTCCCCCTACGCCGTACAGTTGATTCGCCTAGATTCAGGCGCCTTATTCAGGGTTTAAGGTTTTGGGTTCAGGGTTTCGGGTTTAAGAATACTCCAAGGGAGGTTAGTGTTAAGTGTTCCCCAAGGATTGTATAAAGAATGCTTTGAGAAACTTTGTCAGTCTCAGGTGAGTGCTGCTAGAGTGACAAGAGGGCCACACAAAATCGCTGCCCCAAATCCTGAACTCTAGACCTGAAACTGTCAAGGGCAAAGAGGTCCCAATAGAAAACCGTGTGCCCTCAACTCAATGGCAAACTTGCCATCCAAAACCTGCCCAACCTACTCTGGGAGGTGAGTTTAGGGGTTCTATTGGGACATAGGGGTTGTATTGGGATAGTTGAAAAATGGAAACTATAGGGATTATGGGGTTATATAGAGTGTAGAGTTTAAGCTAAACAAGTTTCTACATAACACAGCCAAGGGTTCAGCGTGATTCCCGGGCCTGAACAGTTTTCTTGACTGAGAGCCAGATACAAATCTGCCTTAAAGGGCCTTCTTTGCTGGTGGCTGCATCTTCAAAAAGATCTAGGCGTCTAAGAAGCTAGAGCAACCTCGAAGAAGCGCATGCAAGTGAAACTTGGAAATGGTAGCAGTAAACTGCCATCCTGAAACCCCTAAACCAAGCAAATGCAGTATTATATATTATATACTTGCATAGATTATTAGGAAAATCTGTTCCCACTAATAAGCCCAAAGCCCATCTTGAGAAGCCTACAGGCATGCTCCGGCAGATCAAAGCCGCAGGCATCGCGTCCCACACAACGATGAGGCGCTTGATGTGGGCGTGTTTTTAGATAAGCCTTTGATGTTGGGAGTTAAGGCTCGAACTTCAAGACCGAAACCCTAGATGACCCCAAGGCTTACGGGTTTAGAACTATCTCCATACTGCCGAGCTTAACAGAATCCTGAAAGGGGATCTCCCAGTTTTTGAGCAAGCCTCATATTCCCTACAAGAACACGCATGGGTCAAGGGAATCCCCTTTGGAGGGTTTTGGCTCTCAATTTGAGCGCTGTCACTGAATCTCATGGATGGACATGCAATGGCATATCCGTGTAGTTTCTTATGGTGCACAGTCCCTAGACCCTAAACCCTCAACCCCTGACCCTAAACCCTCACCACCAGCCGCAGACCCGTCTTCAAGGTCACGGCTTAAGACGGTGAAGTCCTTCCGCTCCTCACCGAGCCAAAGTATGGATCCAAACGAGTCGGCCCCTCTTCTGCAGATGTTCTAATTTTAGGGACTTAGGATCTTTGAGTTGTAGGGTAATACCTAAGGTTTCAGGCTTGTAGCTTTTTAGGGTTGTAGTGTGCCAGGCCGGGGATGAATCCGATGCTTTGCACGCTTCAGCATTGTACCTGAGGTTTCCTGTTTCAAGCTTTTTCTCCTTGATCCCGTTTAGGGGTCTCACGGGCGCATGAGGTTTGAAGAGGCGCGGAAGGATTGTTGTCCGGGATGCTAGCAGGTTCATGGTTAAACAAAAGGAGCTTCAACTTGCGGAAGTACCCGCTTGGTGCAGGGTCTCGCAGCAAGGTCACATTTTTTGAGGGCCTTGTGAGAATGTTTTAATAAATGGCAAAGGGATTGGTGTAATCTGCACAAGCCCTACACCGCAAACCCTGAAGCCTTAAACCCCAAGCCTTCACATCCCAAGTGCTCTTGGTGGCAAACGGAATCCCTGTAATCCCAAATCCTAGGTTCATCCTCAAGCGAATGGATGATGGATAGACCTTGTCGTGTTGCCTGCTCTGAAAACCACCCAGTGCCGGCCCTAAACCGCAAACTCTATGCCAAACACTCTTGAGCCCTACACCCTTGAATCCGAAACCCAGAACTGTAAACCTCAGCTACCAAACCTTGAGCCCCAAGCGAGCTTCCAGCAGACTCCAGGTCCTACTCGGACGCACAGCGCCTACAGCACCTTGCTTCCAGTTCATAGCCTCTCCCCAGTTTGGGACAGCCGCCCCGCCCCTGGTAACGAATCTTCCCACTATGGTACCCCTATATACTAGAGGCACATGGGGTGGTTTCCTGGGGAGGTGACTAGAATTGGTTTGCATTCTTTTGCTAAAGCTTTTTTTTCGGGGTAGTTGTGCTGTGTGGTGTGCTGTTTCTCTTCAAACCTTAAGGCCTAAGCCGGAAACTTACCCCTTCAACCCAGAGCCGCGCACCCTAAATCTTTAGAAGCACGGAGCCATGAACCCAGACCTCAAGCCCACAGAAGCCACAAACCAAGCCACAAACCATGGCACCCTGAACCCTAGGATTGGGGTTAGGGCTTAGTGTTTAGAGAGACGTATTCCATCTCTGCAGGCACAGGAGCAGAAGCCAGGCTCTGAACATGAGGGCCTTGACGCTGTTCTCTAAATTTTTATGGATCTTCGAAGCCAGCGGGTCGATGGTTCGGGAAGATCTCCCAGAGGGGGCTTGTGCGTCTTCTTCCTTCTGTTTTGAGAGACCCCCAAGATCTGCCTGAGCCACATATGCTTGGGTTTTAGGGCTTTGGGGAGGTCCCTGTTTTAAGGGAGGTCCCTGATCCCCTACAACCTAAGCGCCAAGCGCATGATTTTCATGAACCCACAGTTTGATACCGGGAACAGTTCTGTTTGACCGCGGGCTGGTGAAGCGGCTGCTGCCTCATTGGCTTTTAGGAGTGCAGGTCATTGAGGACACGGCCAGATATGGGTACTTCCCAAGATAAGGGGTACCTTTTTGGGGTCTCAGTATTAAGGATTATAACGTTGTGGGGTCTTTTTTGGGGTCCCATGGTTTGGGAAACTACCATATCTGTACTGGGGAACAAGGGCAGTTGCATATTTGGGGTGGAGGGAGATGAAGCTGAAAGCCCCGCCGCCATAGGGATCCCTTCCTCCATTCCTTACTTGCCACCAGAAAGGTACAGCGCAGGTCACGTGATTTTGTTACATCGTTAATAACCCCTATAATACTCCCCTATATCAACTACTTAAAGCACTTTAGATTATAACCCTAAACCCTAAACCCTAAACCCTGACCCAATAGCCCATATGATGATTTACTTGGCTCGAGGCCCTAAAGCCGATCAGGCTTAGAATCTCCCAGTCGGGGAGAGTTCCGGTTTGGTCCTTGAGTCCTTCTAAATTATGGTCCCTTTTTGGGCACCCTAAATATTTTATTTTCCGTATTATAATAGGGATCCAAAAGGGACCATAATTTTGACAATCACCCCCGTAGGAATCGGCAGCTCCCTACCCTAAATTCCTAGTTACCTAGTTCTTTCTGAGGCCCGAAACCCAAGGCTAGAGCCATAAGGTGTAACGTTTTGAAACTTCACTCAAGCTCACCAAATTCTAAGAGCTCGAAGCGATAAATCTCCAGACTCTACACTCCAACCCTTGTCGCTTCAAACCCTGACCCCTGGAACTACAGCGCGGTGATTTTTTCTGCACCTGCCTTGCCTCTGATATATGTGTTTGTCAGTGTGTGTGTGTGTGTGTTTTTTTTTTTTCCCGGGGGGAGGGGGCGGTTGGTGGCAAGCTTGCTTAGCTTGGTAGTTATCTGGACATGCAGCAGAAACATCTCACTCTCGAGGGCCTAAGTCTCAAGCATTCGCTGTACTGGAGAATAGGTGCAGTTGCGGACAGGAAGTGCCAATGGTTCGGGGCATGAATGGTCTGGTGAGCGCACACGCTTGGGGTTGACTTCGTATTGGTTCTGGCTTGTGAATGGATGCGCTCGGAGGTAGACGATATCTACTGCTGTGGTGACATGTTGAAGACTTGTCCTTACTGTTTGGGCCTAGGGATATCTTGAGAAATCACGTCATCATGGTTTGGGCATGGATAGCCAGGTAC